GACAGCACAGTGCAGTGCGGTTGCTGTGCGTCTGGCCGCAGTGGCACGTGACCCTACCAGGTCAGGCCCCTCGATGACGTGGCTCTGTCGGGAGTGTGCTTCCGCTCGCCAGGCTTGGTCACTGTCCACCCACCGAAGCCTCACGACGCCCCTGGCAGGCCAGAGCGGCCGTGGAGCCAGTGACCTGCCTGGGGTCTCGGAGTTCGTAGCAAGCGGAGCTGGGAGCCTAGAGCAGGAGCTGCATCGAGTCTGGGCCCAGCCCCCCACATCGAGAGGGGTTCGCTGAGAAGCGAGCATGGTGCGTCAGTCACTCGGTCCGCTACTTAAGCCGTTGTCCTCGGCCTGGAGGGTCCATCGCAGTGCACCCCCGCCCCCGGCCATCGTTCCCTGGGTCCAGGATGGACCTGAGAATTTGCTCTTGCGGCAAGTTCCTGGGTGGCAGGAAATGCTGGGCCAGGGCCACAGTGGGAGAGCTGATTCCGAGCCTGACCGCAGACGGGGTGGCCTCACTGTCTCCGCTGCTCATTTCCCTCGGCCTGTGCGCCCGCCCCGCTGACCCCAGGGCTGTGGGGACGATGGCTGCCAGTGTGACCGCGGCCCCTCTGGTCACGGGGCGGGGGAGGCACCCACTGCCATCGGTCTGTGTTCCCCAGGGCTGCAAACAGGGGAAAGTGCGGATGACCTAAATAATCACCTTGCGTGTGACTTAAAGGGGAGGGTGACACTGGGCGGACGGCGATCGCTGTGGTCGTTGGTACCGGCCCCTCGACCCACGTGCGTCTTCTCTGAGAAGCTGGTCTGCCCCTCACGTCCACCAGCCCTTCGGCCGTGGGAGAAATCTACAAAGTCCTGGCTTCATTGCAGCTTTCATGGCCACCACGAAATGAAAAGGAGTTCGAGTGACCCAGGCCCACAGAAGCAGACAGACAGAAGCCTCCCCGGAACCTTGCAGGAATCTGCGGCCAGAAGCCTGAGGGCGACTCGCTGAGTCCCGTCCCCCAGCCTGTTCATTAATGCGCGAAGCCAGGCCAGGCGGCGTGATGAGCAAAAGTCTCTCGGCCTGATGGCCACTCACGGGAGATTCTGCCAGACAAGGCCACAGCCCCGGGGGTTGGGTGACGTGGTCGGTGCTCTCCTTTGGCTGCACGGGGCCCGTCTGGTGGAGAGGGTGCGGGGTGGCCTCCCCTGACCCTGGGGGTGCCACGAGGCTGTCACTGAGCACCTGGTGACCTTAACCTGCTCCGAGCGAGGGCCCCACGTCAGGTGAGGTTTTAGGAACAGCTTCCTCACGCTTTCTCAGACACCGCCACCCGGACCTGCGGAGGGGGAGGGCAGGGGGGCCCCGAAGCCACGCTCCCTGTCAGAGGCCCTCACGTCTGCCGCCCGGGGCTGCTGTCCCCGTGGCGGCCGCTGCCAGGGGCCTCTGTCCCAGAGCTTGCCGCTCCTCCGTGGCCGTCTTTTTGCTGCTGTGCTGCTTTGCCCTGTTCCTGCGATGACACTGAGTGGCCCCCTGTGTTGTGTCTTTCAGCCGGTAATGGTAAAGTAGAGGCTCAGAGTGACGAAGAGAATGGGCGTGCCTGTGACATGAATGGGGAAGCATGTGCCGAGGACTTGCGAGTGCTCGATGCCTCGGGAGAGAAAATGAAGGGTCCCCACAGTGGCCAAGGCAGCAGAGCTTTGTCAGGAGCTGGAGGCATCCGACTTCCTAACGGCAAACTAAAGTGTGATGTCTGTGGGATAATTTGCATCGGCCCCAATGTGCTCATGGTCCACAAGAGAAGCCATACTGGTAAGGCCTGGTCCCTCCGCTAGCCGCCCGGAAACGGTCGGCGGGCACGGCAGGAGGGGCCCATCCTGTCCTAGCTGGTGTCCCGAGGGCGTGTCGGAAGGACCGGCCGAGCTGCAGCGGCCGTGAGTCCTAGCAGGGCAGAGCGTCCTTGTCCCCGGTGCCATGGGGAGGACTCCTGAGCATGCAGCGGTCCCCCCGTGAGCTAAGCCACAAACAGGAAGCGTCAGCAGCCCCACGAGTGGGGCCGCAGTGTGCGTCCTCGGACTGCCGGCCCCCGCGCTGCAAGGCGGCACCTGCCGGGCGGCTCACCCCTGAGAAAACAAGGCAAAACGAGGCGAAAGGGTCGACACCCTGAAACCTAGGCTCAGACTTTCCACCGAGAAACCCTGAGCAAGATACACACTTTTCGTGTGTGTATTCACACCAGCGGGGCTCGATTCTCAGAAATGGTGGCGAATGAGGGACAAGCCGCAGGGCACCGTCTTCAGAAAGTGTTCAGACCGGTCCCCGGACACTCACCCTCCAGATGACACTTTGAACGAGTCTGTTGGTTGCCCCTAGTTTTCATCTCAAAACTGGCAAACAATTTAATACTCAGACCTCTCTCCATCAGAGGCTTTGGAAGGGTCAGAGAGCATAGGGTCCTGGGTCCAAAACTGAAGGCGGGGGGCAGCGTAGCGCCGGTGGGGTGTGCCCGAGCTCCCGAGATGCAGTCACAGTGGGGGCGGTGGGGGTCGTGTCACAGGTCTGCCTCTCCCCGGTGCCCAGGACTAGGTCCTGGGGACTGACCGGTCACACGCTTTCCCACCTGAACTGTCTAGACACCACCGACGACGCCAGAGACTCTGCAAGATACAGAATCACTGAGACGCGTCTTCCCCGCGTGCGCAGGGACTAATCTGCCATAAACGCGGGCAGAACACAACACGCTCATTACGCTAGTGGCCACTGACCGTCTGAACGTAAAACGTAGACGCCCTGAGCCACAGCCACCTAGGGGGTGGCACCATTAGGCCCTCGTCACCAGTATCTGCCACCACAGCCCCGTGGAGGAAGCACGCACCACGCAGGTGGACAGTGAGCTGTAGACACGGCGACCTCGCGTCTCAGGGAGTGAGGGAGCCGCCTGGCAGTCTGAGGTGGGGTCCAGCAGACCTAGCACCACCAGCGGGGAAGCGGGCTTTCCGAAAACTCATTGAGCGACAAAAGCTGCGTTGTCAGGAAGTGCAGGTCCGGTGCAGCCGTAATTATTCTGTCCACCTAGGGCTGTTTCTGCACCTCCGTCTCCCATTTGTAATACGTCGAGAAAACTGTGAAATATGCTCCTTCTCAGTCGGCCTTCATTTTCAATAAAAATTTCACTTCTGAAATTAAGCAAAAATTTGCTTTTCCTAATAGGCCCCTTAATCCTCAAATCATCCAGTGAAATAGACCCGCCACATCCGGCTGTAAGTAACACACGCACCGGCGTGTAATGAGGTAGAAATTAACGTGAAGGCAGGTTACCCTGTGACAGACACTCAGCAGAACACACCGGGAAGGTGCTCGCGGGTCCTTGATGGGGAACGCGCCCTCGCAAATGAGCCGCTTTCCTGCTAATCCCGTAAAGCCTGGCGATACGGCAGAAATGCTCTCAAATAAATATTCGATAAATGAATCGAATTCTGGCATATGGAGTCGCCAAAATATAATGACTGCCTGCCCTGATAAAACGCATAATTGCATTTAATGAACAAGCCTGCCAAGTACAGATATGCAGAGTCGCCCCGGCTGTTGGCTGCCTACTTCTCCCCGCAAGGAGCCGCTATGTGCCGAGTCCTCTGCTCACAGAGCAAGGAATTCCAGAAATAGGGACAGACCTGTGGCTCCTGCCTTGACTTTTATTCCATAAAAAAAAAAAAAAGCTGACACTTGAAACTCGTGGACTGTCTGTATCATGCATTTCCACCCGCACGAGGCGGGCAGGGCCACAGGTAGATGCAGAATGTCAGCCAAGCGAGGTTCGAAGAGCTAGGCGAGCTAAGCACCCACCGCACCCCGAATTCTCTCAGTTTCGAACATTTCTAGAGCAGTGCTTCTCAACCTTCAGGGGGACCTGTGACAATGCAGACTTCCACTCAGACTCCAGGGCATGCTGGGGATGCCCGGCACGCACGGGGAGCCGGCAGGACGTGCCGGCGCTGAGCGGACAGTCACCACGCCGCGTGGGGGGCTCCTCGTGCGGCAGCCGAGGTACCGGCTGACGTCCCCCACGCAGCCACACTGGCCCCCCCACACTGCCCGTCGGCGAGGGGGCCGGGCAGGCCGGTACCCTTCCTGGGCTCAGTGCCTCTGCCCGTGTCACCCCCTCGGTGACAGGCCACTGGTGCCCATGCCCGACAGTTTACAGATGCCACCACTTCACTGCCCTAGCTGTGTTGCCCAGTTTTACCTTTTTTTTTTTAATGTGAGTGTCGGAGTGACGCTTTCCCGCCGGCCTCTCCGGGTTCCTGTGAGACTGGGAGGCAGGTGGCAGAGAGGAGCAGGTGACGTGCCATGCAGACGTGCAGCGTCGTTATTCTGAACGACAGCATTTTTAACAATAGAGGTCGAAACAGTGCCTGAACCGCGAGTCCTCTGCGCAGGCCGCACCCACTCTGCCGCCGCTGCGAGGAGCCCAGGCGCGGGCCTCGCCGACACAGCGTGGACCTGCAGTGCTGCTCCGAGGCTCGGTCCAGGCGGCCCAACCCAGTCCCCACGGTTCAGACGCATTTTAACCTGCCGTCTGATGCGCCCGCAGGACTTACAGTGCGCGGGTGCCCAGGAAGACTTCAGGCCCCTGAAGTGACAGGTCTATGGCGTCACTGGGATTAAACACTTAATTTCCAATTAATGATATTTTAGTCCTCATCCCAGGTAAAGGAAAGGGACCAACCCTGGAGAAACCCAGTTTTAGCTACGATAGTGAGCTGTGGCACCACAGGTGGCCAGGGACAGACGTTGGCCAAAGGACCAACGCGTGGGCCGTGTTCGGTCGTCCAGCTCCGGGGCCTGGCCCCTTCCCTGGTGACACCTGCGGAGGGGACTGCTCTGTGTTGTCACTGCAGGGGACACTGTCCTCCGCGTCCCATGCCTGGTGCTACGCAGTCACGTCAGCTTCGACAATCGGAAACAAGTAGGTTTCTGGGAAGCAGGGGCGAGGCGCCCGACGCAGCAGGACACACGGGGACCAGTGACTCAAACAAGAAGACAGATTTCACTCTTGAAGAAACGGCCGCTTTTCTCTCCTTCCTGTCCTGTTCCGAGAAAGGGGACGAGGCTCGAAGGGTCTGGCCTTTCTGTCTGTGCTGTCTGCTCCCGCAGACTCGCCAGCTCAGCCGCAGGCCCCTGCCAGGGTCCCCTCCAGCCCTTAGGCCTCCTCCGGAGCAGCACGGTGGCCCCCACACACTGTCACCCAGGGGCCCCTTCCTTTAGGCTCACCATTAGCATTTTTACGGCCTTTGCATCCCCCCTGGCCTGAGGGTCCAGCCTGGCATAGCGAGAGGCGTGGCTGGAGGCACACTCTGTGTCACCCCACAGGTCCCCCTGCACACAGGGATCGTCCCACCCGCTTTGTCCTCTACTGTGGAGCTAGACACCCACATTCACGCCTGGGTGTGCAAGAAGGCCCAGGAGTGTTGGCAGTAGACAGCTGAGCCATCTCTCTCTGTGGGACGCCCCTCAGGTGGCCGGGCCACCAGCCATCGGAATCTCCACGTGGGCTTGAAACTTGGAGGGTTGGTTGGTTGGTTGGTTGGTTAGTTTTACCATCACCTTCCCACCCGCTTGACTCTAAAGCGTTTCTCTGCTCGGCCAAGCCCACCCCAGGTGCGGATCTGGGAGAACACACCAGACGCGTCCTGGTCAGCATCGGTCCCTGCAGCGGGTCGGGAACTGAATAGCACTGTAAATCGATGCCAGTTTTTACAGCAGCTCCGCCATCCCGCCCGCTCACGCACACGAAGGACGGCCACACGAAGTCCAAGCGCCCACACTTTGCACCGACGCCAGCTTTGGCGGGGCCAGAGATGCTGCTGCTTAGTCACTTTTCCTAAGTGCTGTCTCGTCTGCCAAAGCCACGTTAACCCCCCGGGACGATTGCTAAGTCATACATTTTAACGATTGCTAAGTCATACATTTTATCCTAAGGAAAAATCGTGCCCAGCAAGCGTGTTTTCAGGGCATCTCAGCACAGGCACTGTGGTCCCATGAGCCTCCTCTGAAAAGCATCGTCCACGTTCCCTTCGGCGAGGCGAGCGTGTCCCTGCTTTCAGCGAGCTGAGCGAAGGGCTCACTGGTTTCGATCCCACGCCCCGCGATGGCTCCACGGCGCACGTCTTTGCCACGAGTGCCCGTGGAGCCCTTTGCCGGGCACGGAGCACGGGGATAGGCACGCGCGCTGCCCCCGCAGCGGAGGCTGCAACGCGCCCCTTGTCTCCACTGTCGCCCGGCCCCCGAGGGTCTCCCCCACGGCTCGACCGCCTCTCTGAGATCGCTCGTCTGCCGGGGACTGGAGGAGGCGGCATGAGGCTGGAGGGTCCGTGAGGGGCGCGCAAAGC